CACACACACACACACACACACACACAGAGGGTTGGTGTGAGTAAAATCGACATCTTTTCTTAGGTGTATGACCAGCCCACATGGTGAGTCGTTATCCATTAGTCAAAATCGTCAAATGAGCTCAAAACTTCTGAGTCCTGATGTGTTGGTGAAAGTGAAATAGTCTGGCACAGTCCTGTTCTTCGTGTGGAGTTGCACATAGCGAACGCGATAATATAAACATCCTCCTGATGAGTCGGTGAAAAGTCTGATGAAACACTTCCCCACGGTCATGCTTTTTTCTTCGTGGAGTGGAATAGTAAACATGACCACAACACAGAAACACAAATGCAAGATTCCAAGCCACTTTTTCTTCTTTGCTGGTGGGACCTCACCCCCAGGCAAGTCTGGTAGCCTAGGAATGAACTATATATTCTATACTGGGAATCTGATTCATGGTCTTTTATGCAAATTGTGATTCCAATGTGTTCCAATTTCCATATAATGTTCAAGGGACGCTGGAGCCGTTTTCCAGCAGGAAAAAAGACAACGGAAAAAAAAAAAGGCCCCAAATAGTGAAAAGTTTCACAATAGCGGAACCTTTGAATTCATTTCCTCCCAACCGGGGCGAAAAATGTCTGGGAGGCCTTGGGAGGAACGCACATGTCAGTTTTGCACCCCTACACAGGCCAAAAATTAGTTTCCAGCCCCTCTTTTTGCACCCACAGCCGAGAGGTATCACAATTATTTCGTTCAGATTCATCTGATGTCATCTGGAGTTCATTAGGGGTACCAACTTAGGCATACTCACACAAGGACTTTTTTGACTCAGCTCTGGACGGGATTGCAGTCAGCTGCATACAGATCAGGGTGCAATTGGAGTCAGATCTGCTAGACCGAGTATACCATGAGCTAGGCCCGTTGGTCAAATTCGTCTCTTTTCTTTTTTTTTCCGCTTCCATGTCTTTTGTCTTGTACAATTCCCGAAATGGTACTTCTCCACGAGGCTCACAGCTGAGTGACTCCTCGGACACTTCGTTTTCCCTTTTTTTCTTTTCTAAACCACCAGTACCTTTCCCAGCTATCAAGTCGGACCCTCCAGGAAAATGCCACTGAACATTCACATGTCTCTCTCTCTCTCTCTCTCTCTCTCTCTCTCTCTCTCTCTCTCTCTCTCTCTCTCTCTCTCTCTCTCTCTCTCTCTC